ATCTCTCCTGGACGGCAATCCTGTCCAGCTGCAGGCTATCCACTCAGGCTTTACTTGGGAAAGTCGACTAAGATAATCAACAGTACCACGAAAGTACATTAAAACTACTTATCACGGATAGTACATCACATGACTATCCGCTAGGTTCGATAAGATTAAGTCAAAAGGATAGTTATGCACACTTCAATTCAATTGCGTGAGCGACTACTCCAGCGATAAATTCCGGGTCTTCATACAGAGTTTCTTCATTTCTGCTTGATTGTGAATTACCACCGTCTTTAGTTACTCAGCCTGGTTATCGAAACTTTCATTACCAAACTGTTGTGAATTTAATTGGCGTCAAGCGCCCGGATGAGCCGGGTTGATCGATGTCGCGATAGTCGAGGTTGGCAGAGATGATGGTGAAGAGAGTCGGACCCTGAGTCAAACTCAACCGATAACATACACCCAGCCTCTATCACCAAAGAACAAAACATAATTAATTTGTAGACTCAACATCATCCTCTTTCCCCATCCTCACCTACAACTATCCTCCCCAAAGATCACACCACGTTCTAATACCCACATGCGCGTGTTAAGTCCACTACTCAAGCTCAATTTTCCAACCCGATGCCAAGTGTGAATTCTAGGGGATGGGTGTGCAATTAAAAAGCGTTTCAATTCAAATCCATCACTCAGAAATGAGAGGTGATAATGGCTGGACATTTAACGGTGTAAAAATTGGCTGTGTACTAAGCGTATAGGTCATCTATTGAAGGCCAAGACAAATCAAGATATAACACAGCTTAAAAAAATGACTTTTCCCCATACTGCAATATCATAGACGACTCCAACAACGCCAACCGGAGCGAAGTGCAACGTGTGAGAAGACCAATCGCTTGATTTGTAGATTGGATGTCGTTCATCCTCTATGTGTGCTGCCGGTAGGGACAGGGGTGGCCTCCTCAATTCGGCGGAGGTACATACCCGCACGGGCAAGAGCTCGGGTGTTGGCTTGTCGACCGGGCCCAGGTGATTTGGTGTGACTTTCACTGTTAGCACGGAGCTTGATGTGGACAGCAGTGATCTCGACTCGTTGCACTGAAGAGCAACGTCTCGAGCGGCCAACCTCGTGTCGTGAGGCGAGCTCCCGTTTCGATCGGCCCTCACTATCATCCCCCCAGGCACACGAGAGATGGGTTGACGGCCACAAACATCGGCGACAACGACAAAGGTTGATTTGAATGAAACGATCATGTGAGCGACATCGAAGACTATTCCACCTCCCAAACCCGGCCTCCGAGGGCCACGACGAGGGCCGTTTCACAACATTAGCACCTCTCGTCGGAGGCTCCCAATGTCGAATCAGAAATGAGTTTGGGAGGCGTGCGACGGAGAAGGGATTAAAAGGAAACCATCATCCAAGATCGCGTAGAGTACCTGGATCCATTACAGCCGGGCTGAGATGTGTCATCGCAAGATCGTCTCTCGGTTACCATGTGCTTGATGTACGCGTGTGAGAAATCGTTATCTGTCGGGGTCGTTACGTTTGCAGCTTATTTGGTTTTATCAGATGTTAAGGTCATGCCGTCCCATACTCTTACTTCATGATTGAGATGAGGGAAATCGGAACAAGTCGCATATTCCGAACGGTCGATTCGGCGGGTTAATTTAGTGGATCTTGCACACGCGAGTCTGAAGGAGGAATTGATGAATGCTTGATCGATAACACCCGGGATAATTGATACAATCCGTTTGCGGAACGAGTGGCGAAGCAACGACGCAATGAGAGTTGGACTGCGCAAGCCTATCATCAGCCTGAAGTCGAGGAACATCGTTAATGTTCAGATCAAAGCCCCGAAGTTGTCGTTTCCATGCAGGCAATAGATTAGAATTCGAATTTGTAACATGTGTTGATACAAAGACTTATGCGAAGTGCTTACGATAATGCCATTCGCTGTTGAGCCTTGAAGGAGTCGAGGGTAGACTTGATCGGATTGAAAACCAGATGATCAGTATGTCGCGACCTGGATCCTGAGGTAATCTTATACCCTTGCAGGGGCCATCTCGCATATATCCAATTAATTTTCCCCCGGGGGCTGAGGTCTCCGGCCCAAATTTCATGACTCCCTCACCATTCAAGAATCCCGCAACGGAATCAGCTTGACCTCACCACCTCCAGAAGGCCCGATTCGAGATAACCCCGGCACATAAGGGCAACTGCGGTTAACAGCGAATTTCGACTCAACATCATCAGTGACTTCAACTTTCGAATCGTTGGCTACTCATTGTCAACTATACACGGTACCAAGTGCCTTTGTTTGGACTTGATTTTCACTATGCTGATACTGAATCAAATTTACCATGACTCCGTTTTTTGTTCATCTCAAGAATAACTCGTGTGATTTTGGAGTCTCGATCTCGAAGCGCATTAATACAACTTCGCCAAGTAAGGAGTCGTCCGACCGAAAATAGCAACGCAATACCTGATTTGCTTCTCCGTCTCGTTGGATCAATCTCATCACTTCTCCCATTGATTAATCATCTCGCTAGGAACGGGCCTAGAACGACTCAAAAGTGGATAGTTAACGGTTTAGGTAAAACCCCACATTTAACTTGAATTGTCCTTCACGATTGTGTAACGTTGACATAACAATCGCCCCTTACCCCTTTCTTTGAAGATCCGATCTGAACGGTTGCTAGAGAAGACCAATTGACCTCAACCGTCCGTTCACCCGTTATTCGTGCGAGCTTTGCGATTTGTCTGGCCTCATCGCAGTTCTCAGCAAACATACATCTCAAGGGCTGTTCCAGGAGAAGAGGAGCAAATATAGAGCTGAAATCGCTTAATCAAATCTCACGGCTGCAGTGTGCGTCTTTGTCTTCAATCTCAGGGGTAATCTATTTCGGCTAATCCATCACCCTTATTTCACCCTCCTAGACGAGACCATCAGAAGATTTGGGAATTTCAAACCCTGATAACTCTACTTGAGTGTTGTGGAGACCAGGACGAATAGCACCCGATTTCAAGCAAATTATAAGCATTAATTGCAAAGGTTGATATTATTGTAAGGTCATCCTTCCTTTCGAAAATTAGTTGTCAGATATTGTTCTTATGCGTTGCCTTAGCTTTTGTCATTTCCCCTGCTAACGTCTTCATCAACCAAACAGTTACTTACAAATTTCAGGACGAACCAATCGACTCCACCCCAATCGAACATTTGGAAGTGATCGGTTTTTGGAGTTTTGTCTAGAGTGTGATAGTAGGATACTGTTCGCGCCTTGACATTATGACAAATATCCGGAAAGCTTACTTGGCTGAAAGGAAGAGAAAAAATCGTTGCAGAAGACATGCCGATAAGCGAACGAGTGAATTGTCCCTTACCGTTGACGATACAGATCGGACCACTCGGGTCGAGGCAAGCGCTCCATCGTCCAAACCTCAGGCCATTGGTGATCATCCTAAGGAAAACTTCACCCCTTCAGACAAGTCCCGTCACCATAAAGACTCGATAATATGGTGCTCAAAACGATACATTCCGCTCGAACTCTATCCTCACATTCTTGGCGATGAGCCGGAGCGTCCACCGACTCCATTCGAGATTGAGTATTGTAATACGAAAGCAGCTCAGTTCAAGTATTTCCACCAAGGCAAGATTGTCATCCACGACAAAGATAACGAATCGAAAATTATAGCCATTGCAGAGTTCACTCGTTGGGATGACATAACGCCTGGCGAAGTAGAGGAAATAGGTCAACTAACAAGTTTCCTCAATACCGCGAAGTGCTTTGTCAATGCTGTTGACTCTGAGGGAAGGTCTTGGGGAGGAAATATGTTCGCAATTGGGTGGAGAAAGGCCATGGTTGCATTCGAACTATTTGGCCGTTATAGGAACAATGCTGCCATTGCAAAAGCCCCGGACGTCTACGATAACTTGATGCAACAGTCTCAGAAGATCTCCAGCATGCTCGGCCGAATCTTCAAACGACTCGCAAACGTGGCATTTGATAGTAATCAAGAGCTCATGAAAGAATATGGCATTCCCTCAATTGGCCACCTTTCCTTTGGAAGGCCAATCAATGATGATGATTGTGCACCCAATCTCACTTTCACCTCGAATCGATTTTTCAATTCGCCACATTGCGACAAGGACGACCTTTCGGAATTTGCGTTTGGCATGTTCATCCCAGTCAACCGGACCAATTGGTCTATTGGTGGGTTGATGAGTCCGTCCAGATTAAGTGGTGGGCAATTTGTATTTCCCAATTATCGAGTTGGAATCGATTTTTCTAAGCACGATGGCTTCGTTAAGCTCGTTTGGAGATCGAAAGAAGTCCGACATTGTACTCTCTACTCGACAAATGATGAAATGCACGACCAACTTGGAATTTCACTACAGATCAACAAGAAGACGGCATCAGCTTCCCGAGACACTCACAGCGGTGCGATCTTCAACCGACGCGCTTTCAGGGACAAACCTCGTGATAAGTGTTACATTGGCGACCATGAAACTTATGTGAAAGGTGAACGCTAAGCTGAATTGCTTGTGGGTCAAATACTATTTTGACGGGACAATGGTTACGATCCATACGATTTAAGTTTGCATTTTAAACTCTCACCAATAGATATGATAAGTTATGTTCAGTCCCCTCCCCAACTATTTGTTTGCCATTATGATAACTTGTCAATGCAATTGTGAAAGTGCCAAAATATCCATTGCCAGGCCTGACAACCGTCCTATAATATTCACCAAAATTGCAACTGCCGGGTGAGTACAATAATCAAAATGGTCTAAGTCTAATCATTGTGGAGTGTATTGGTGGCCATGGCGGGATTCACACAATGCCATGGGAGCAACCTTGTATTACAAGCAACTTCTGTGGGGCCTTGAACCTGACCAGGCCAATCAAAATGTAGTGTGAGGCTTTCAAATTTTTATTTCAGGGTTGCCTTTAACACATTCATACCCAAATTATGTAGCTTAGTTTCCCTCATCCCCTTCATCTTTCATCAATACTCAAATCAACACTCGAGTCAACTTATCCATAAATGCTCAACCCAATTACAGTTTACCCCAATGCTTCCACGAACAGCAGGTTATTTTTGATGGGAATTCCTTTGGCTTCAAACGATCAACTCAGTTTTTCCGGTTGGTGCACATTGGGAGAAATGGTAAGGTTAAGGCTTGTCTTTGTTATTTGATGACATTTAGTTAACTTATCTAATTTGACAGTCAAAGTCCTGGGACTGGGACCGTGGGACATATAGTATATACAAAATACTCCTCCCATCCTGCCCAGTCATCGACAATATTGAACAGCGAGTCTACATTGAGGACAAAAGTGTGGTTGAAACAATCGTTGCACCGTGTCTGGATTGGCGAGTTTTGGCATCCAGATTCTTCGGTCCCAAACCGATGAAAATACGATTTTTTCTTCGGTTTGGGACCGTATAATATGGTGGGCTGCCAGGGCTGACCAGGGCCAGCCCTCTGGAATTTCACAGGCAATACCATGTCAACCAAGAATCCCTGATTTTTGCCCCACACCCACTTTTGCCATGGCACCCAGCTCTGCCAGCTCCCACCACCCCAGCCACACCCAGCTCTGCCAGCTCCCTCCGCCCCAGTCATGCCCAGCTCTGCCAGCTCCCACCACCCCAGCCACACCCAGCTCTGCCAGCTCCCTCCGTTCCAGCCACACCCAGCTCTGCCAGCTCCCACCACCCCAGCCACACCCAGCTCTGCCAGCTCCCCTCCGCCCCAGTCATGGCCAGCTCGGCCAGCTCCCCACCACCCCAGCCACACCCAGCTCTGCCAGCTCCCTCCGTTCCAGCGACACCCAGCTCTGCCAGCTCCCACCACCCCAACCACACCCAGCTCTGCCAGCTCCCTCCGCCCCAGTCATGCCCAGCTCTGCCAGCTCCCACCACCCCAGCCACACCCAGCTCTGCCAGCTCCCTCCGTTCCAGCCACACCCAGCTCTGCCAGCTCCCACCACCCCAGCCACACCCAGCTCTGCCAGCTCCCTCCGCCCCAGTAATGCCCAGCTCTGCCAGCTCCCACCACCCCAGCCACACCCAGCTCTGCCAGCTCCCTCCGTTCCAGCCACACCCAGCTCTGCCAGCTCCCTCTGCCCCAGCCACACCCAGCTCTGCCAGCTCCCTCCGCCCCAGTCATATTCAGCTCTGCCAGCTCCCACCACCCCAGCCACACCCAGCTCTGCCAGCTCCCTCCGCCCCAGCCACACCCAGCTCTGCCAGCTCTCTCTGCCCCAGCCACACCCAGCTCTGCCAGCTCCCTCCGCCCCAGCCACCCCCAGGAGTAGACAGTGAAAATTGGCTAATGTGTGACAAATAATGAATGGAAATGACTTTTTTCAAAAGCCTCCACATTTTGGGAAAATGGAAGTTGTGAAAGATAGAAACAATGGAACATAGATAGACTGATTATAAATTGAAAACATTGGAACCGAAAAAGGGTGAGCCAGGTTTGTTGTCCAGATTTGAGTCACAATAGTAAATTCTAGTGCTTTACTTCATTGTGGACTGTTTCAAGCCATCTAGAAATCATTTTTTCCAAAAATTTCATGTATTATTCCTCTTCTTATGTAGCAGTCTTTTTTCCTCTCAGCACTCTCCCTCCCCCAAAATGAATATCAAAGCTTTGGGAAAAAATTATTTTTTCTTTCACAAATTTTGAAACTTTGCTTTTCATCTTGTTTCTCTTTTGAATCTCTGGGATCCAAAATAGGCTGCCACTTTCCACTGTACAACTTGAAATCACCATCCACCCAACTATGGTAACTACACTGGCTGCAGGCTGGGTGCACATGCACATCATGTGTGCCTACTGGCACCTACATTTCAATTTTGCACCTCAAGTGATTCACACAGTCCAAGCAATACTCATTTTATGTGTATGGGGGTGTCTTAACAAAACACAACAATCAATCCATTGGCAGAGGCAAGTTGATTTTTTCTTTCCAGCTCAAAATTAATTTGATTCAAAAAAAAGCCAAATTCAACAAACAGTATCAGGCATCCCCAAAAGGCAAATCACCCACCATGTCCAAAAAATAGTGTTTTTCATCAGCAATTGCAGAAATGATTTTTACATAACATGATTTTTTTATTTCATGTGGTGGGTGGCAACTGCTTTGAAATTTGGCTGGGTGGGAATGCCTCAAGTGTGTGCTCTGCCTGTGCCTCAAGTGCGCGCTCTGCCTGTGCCTCAAGAGTGCGCACTGCCAGTGCCTCAAGTGTGTGTGCAAACCGGAAACTACAACCATAGAAAACCCTAACAGCCACTTGAAGCAGAGCCAAACTGAACTGAACTCACCAAAATCATACCAAACTTAACTCAAACACACAACCCATCTTATATCATTTCACTTCCTTCTGCATCACTCAATCAATCATGCCTGAAGCTCGATCAACTAGTACTCCGAAGGAAGACAAACTAATGGATAGGTCATGGCGGTAGTTGCAGTCGTGCCGTCGTCGCGTCGTGGCGGTCGTGGAGGTCGTGGAGGTCGTGGAGGTCGTAGAGGTCGTGGAGGTCGTGGAGGTCGTGTTGGAGGTGATAGCAGCAGAGGTTCAAGTGATCGGGAATCCAGTGACCACGAAGAACATCCAATTCCGATGAGATTGCTTTCACTTTGGAGAACTATGAAAGCCACATGTCGTCTTGGACCGATAAACAATTCGTGATGTCTTATGAAAGCAAACTCGAACTTCTAACCGGATTCCTACTGAAGTACAAGAAGCAATGTTATTCCACAAAAAGAACTACTGTAAGATTAAGTTGATGCTGGCGCTGATTGGGAATGTTTCTGAAAAGAGTGTCAACTCTTGGTTGTAAGTTTTATCTTTATTTTCAACTTATCAAGAAAGCTGACAACCGGATTGAATCTACTCAGGGGAGAAGATCAACCACCAAGAAGAAAGAGCAATTGGAATCGGTATGTAGCTTTCAGCATGGAAAGCTCAATTACACCAGGTGAGATTACTAGTACATCATCACATTTTGAATGTTTTCACTGACCAATATCTTCCTGATTCTCAATTTCTAGTTCCTCCAAAAGGTTGTTCTGAGGGATGGGAAGAAAGAAATGTCCACCTTGGACAGGCATGGGCTGCCCTCTCCGACGATGAAAAAAAT